TTTTAGTCTCACTGTTGAATAGGTGACGTCAACTAAATTAGATAAGTTATTTACTATTTTAGCTGACGTCACCTAAATTTGAAATTACGAGTAAACAGCTACTGAGATCAGGGGGAGAAACGAAGATACAAATGAATGTCTATTCACTCATTCTCTGGTAAAAACAACCCCCCGATTAGCATGACCATTGGCGCGCTTTTACTATTTTAGGTGACGTCAACTAAATAGTTATCTAAGTTATATAAATTTATCTAACTATTCAACAGTGAGACTAAAAGCACTCTAATAAAACGATGATTTGACGACAGCAAGAAAGGAAAACGAGATTGTACTTGCATACCATGTAGAGTATCACTTACCTTTGTTACTCGCTGAATAAACTTGTGAAATTTTTCATCTGCACGACGACGAGGACGTTTAGTTCCCCTAAAAATTTTACTTTGGAATAAGTAAGATCAAAAGAATTTCTGTCTTTCCTACTTCTAAAATAATAACTACACTTTTAGTTGAATAACTGTGTTGGCAGCCATTTTGTTTTTCAAATTTTGTTTGAAGAAAATGCTCTGCGAACTCAAAGACCGACAATTCTTACCTGCTCAGGTCGTTAGGGACTTGGTTTATCAATGGAAACATATTTTGAACTTAAAATTTATTTTTTAGGCAAAAAATTAAAGAAATTAAATCAAGCAAAACAATATAAAATTCATAAAGAAGCGCCATGTAGAACCAGTCTCTCGCGGACTAGACTGTACTTTAATTGGGGAGGGGAGGGTGCGCTGCAAGGTAACTAAAGTGTCGATTTTTCTTTCAACTTTAATCCTTCAAAAAAGAAAAATAAGATAAAAATAAGTATAGCAAGATATTCTAAATCCTATTTTGGATAATCAAGGATATTTTGTGGGACTAAATAGATTGATTTTTCGAAACGGGTAAAATGCTACTATCAGCCCTCCCCGCTAGGGCTTGTTATGCTCGTGCCGATTTGAGTAAGAAGCTTCCTGCTTCCAAACCATACGAACATTCCGAAAAATAACATAAAAATAATATCTAAATGGGCTTCAAGAGGATGGTGAGCAAGATGTCTTATTTCTTCCAAGGAGGAATCTTCCGAAGTCGACGACCAGTTTTGTATTTTTTAGTTTTAATAACAGCAATCGTAATATTTTTACCATACTTCTTCAAACAAAGACACAACAAACTACATTCAAAACTCGTTCAAGATTCTAGAAAGATGATAGCCAAAAAACCGAGCCGAGCGCTTAAGTTTTCGGGATCAAATTTCATTCTGAATGGCAAGCCCTTTACTATTTTAAGCGGATCGATTCACTACTTCAGGGTTCCTGTTGCATACTGGAGCGATCGCTTGGTAAAACTCAAAGCAATGGGACTCAACACTGTCGAAACGTAAGAATTTAATAAGGCTCTGGAAGCTAAGTTTGTGATATCTCTATACTCATACAGAGATAATGCATCGATAATGCATTTTTATAGCAGTGGTTCTCGATAAATGCCTTGTTGAAAGGTAACCATACATCAAGCAGTCTTCTTGATGTGTGGTTCAATTACTGAATCTATGAATACAATCATTCAAGAAAATATTCAGTCCAACTTCCAGAGAAATTTGGTGTCTCTATTAGGCTCAGGATAATTTGAAAATTATTTCATTCACCAGAGTAGTTTATGATCACATATATAGAGCGTTTTCATGTGACGTCGCATATTCTATCCTCCGGGAATTGAACTCTTTTTCCCAAAAACTGTGCAGAAAGTTTCTGTCGTTTGGTAAACAGTGACCACCATGAGTTGTCAGGCAGAAAGAATTCTATTGAAAACTTATGATTCAGCAAGCTGATTAACATTCGCACAAGATCGGAAATAACGTCTAATGAAACCCAGTAATTTTTCATAGAAACAGAAGTAACTTTCATTGCTCTTTTTTGATTTCATCATCAGGTATGTCCCTTGGAATCTACATGAAGAAATAAAGGGAACCATGAAGGTTGAAGGAAACTTAGATATTGTGTATGTGATTACCATTTTTTTATCTAATGAACTATTTATTATAAATTTTATATTAAATTATAAGTTATTTTAATTTGACAGTTAACCCGCAGTTAAGCACCAATGATAACAAACTGACCCCACCCCTCCTCTCCCCTCCTCCTCCTCCTCCTCCTCCTCTCCCCTCCCCTCCCCTCCCTAGTAAAATGTTTCATAGAATTAACACATTGTCTAAGAAATTAGTAATTATTCATCTGGAAGTTGTGTTTAGCAAAACGGGGAAAAAAGGAAATATTAAAGAGGGGCAATATTAAGGGGGTTTGCATCATACTTGAGGAAGACTTTATTTTCTGTGATGCTTTATAATTGTGAAAAATAAAGATCGTGAACTCGTGATCGATTTACACATGAAAGAATCAACTTCTAAGAGTGACATCACATGGTCTGAAATGTGCACAACAAACAACAGAGTTAAAAAATTCTATTTGGGATAGTTGTGAACTATGCTTTTGACCCCACCCCTTACTCCCCAGAACATCCCCAATATGACAATAATAGTGGAATCAACAAACTTGCAACTCAAATGTTTTATATAAGTTTGTTTTCTTGTTCTTAATTTAAAGGTCTTTCATCAAAGAGGCCCATAAACTTGGGTTGTATGTGATAATACGACCTGGTCCATATATCTGTGCTGAATGGGATCTAGGAGGACTGCCTAGGTATGTAGTTAAATCCACTTGGGTTGCCTGTGATAAAAGCCCAGGTAGCAGCCCAATTATAGTCTTGTTACTAACATTTGTCAGTAAGACACATATACAAGTGGACATAGAATATTAATTTTAGAGGCATTGCCATTGTCACCCATTTTAACAATAGGCTTTGTCACTTTGCCTTAGGAGATTGTCCAATAGACTTCTAGTTGGTAATTTAAATGACGGTCAACATAAACAAACGTCGTCATTTTTTAACCCACCTATAGGTAATTAAAGATATTATCTAATCATTACAGCTGGTTGTTACATGATTCAAATCAGAAGCTAAGATCTTCATATCCTCCATTTCTTAATGCTGTGGAAAAATACTTTAACAAGTTGCTTCCACTGATTGTTCCATTTGAAGTAAGTTAACGATCTCATCTTTCAGATCTTTATTAATTCCTTACATATCTTTAATGTGTTAATAATTTTCTAATATTATATTTGAGTAATTAATTATTTTCTAATATACAATCTTTAATGCTTTGATAATTTCTAATATCAGATTTAATTCCTTGATAATATACTAATGTTATCTTTGACAGTACTCCAAAGGTGGGCCAATAATAGCTTGGCAAATTGAAAATGAATACTCCTTCTATGGTAAAGACATGGAATATTTACAAAAATTATGTCAGGTATATGCTATACCAAAAAAACTTTGTGTTCCTATAGCAGCTGTAAAATGCATATTATAAAAACTTTCCTTGCATTCTTTGGGTAGCATGGGTGGCGTACGCTGCTAATGCATTGTCTTTCACCAGTGTGAGTCTAATGGGTCGGGTCGCTGGTTCAAACCCTCTGGTCGCCACATGTGAATTTAGTTAGTTTGATGTGTTATGTGTTGTTTTCTCCTTTGCTATAAGGGTTTTTTCTGGGTTCTCTGGTTTCCTCCCTCTGTAAAAAGCAACGTGATTTGAGGGGTGTGTGTATATAACATTGAATGTAGTGGTAGTGTATGTGAGCGAAAAGTGTCCCCAATTAGTGCAAAAGCACTAGAATGACTAGACACTTATTTATTTATTCACTCACTCACTCACTCACTCACTCACTCACTCACTCACTCACTCACTCACTCACTCATTCATTCATTCATTCATTCATTCATTCATTTGTTTATTCTTAAAACAGAATTTGTCTTTATTCCTAACAGATTATGCTGAAAAATGGAATTAAAGAGCTCATGATTACCTCAGATTCTATTCAAGCTTTTAAAAATAACCCTCACAATCTGACTGGAGGTATGTTTTAATAATTACTATTGCAATGTTCCAACAACTTGATTTAAATATCAAATGTTACTAAAATATGCTATATTAATTGTAACACTTTTGTTTTAAACATTAATTACTTTCTTTTCACTTTTTTCAGTTCTAAAAACAATAAATTTAAATTCAAATGAAGTAACGTCACTTGAAGAGTTGAAGAAGCTGCAGGTGAATGTTGATGACAGTGATGATCATATTGTGTTGATAATTAAAATGTTGATGTTGTTGTTGGTGTTGATGGGGCTGCATGAAAGTGGTAGTGATAGTGAATGAAGCTTCTGATGTTGGTGATGATGATGCTGCTAATGGTGAGTGTGATGGTGATGATGATGATGATTGTGGTGTTGATGAAGGTGATGCAATTGCTACTGCTGATGATGGTGGTGGGGATGGTGATGGCGGTGGTGGTAGTGCTGCTGATAGGATATGATGATGTTGGCAGTAATATTATGATGGTGTTGGTGGGGATGATGACAGTGATGATGATGCTGATGGTGATGGTATTAGTGATGCTGCTGCTGCTGATGTTGATGAAGCTAATGATGCTGATGCTGTTTGCTTATGGTGAGGGTGATCAGTGATGATGCTGATGGTGATGGTGATGATGTTGATGACTGGTAATGTGATGGTCATGACAAGCACAATTTCAATTTCATAACTCCTTGTCAATCACTAACAGCCCAACAAGCCTCTAATGGTGACAGAGTTTTGGCCTGGTTGGTTTGATCACTGGGGTGAACATCACCACATAATGTCACATGACCAGGTAGCAAACAGGGTGACCAACATACTGAAAATGGGAGCTTCTATCAACTTTTACATGTTTCACGGTAAGTACCAAGACGGCTTCAGCTGTGCTCAATCCATGTTGTGAGCCATGTCACGCGACACAATATGTTGTCACGTAGAAGTAGAAGTAGAAAACGATCCTACTTTAGCAACATTGCCTTCAGTATTGTGCGCAATGTTGTACCGTGTGACACGATGTAGAGCACGTAAACGGTACAACATGTAACATCGAAATGGCTTCCCATAAGAATGGTTTTCATATTAGCGGGAAGCATGCGGTGATGACATATAGCACCTACACGGTATGACATGACGGCCGTAACATTGAAATGGCTTCTCATTGTCTTCTAGTAAGTTATCCAATCACAACGCGTTGTTACAGCGGCTACGAATTTGCGCATCTTTTCCCACTCATGCTAAAACCCATCTAAGGCTCTGAAGAGCTCGTGTTGTCTCCCACAATCTCATTTAGAAGAGTATCGTTTATCTGCGCCATCTTGAATGTAATTTTTTGAATTTTTTAGGTGGAACAAACTTTGGTTTTATGAACGGTGCTAATCTGCAAGGTGATGAAGGCTATTTGCCAACAATAACGTCATACGGTGAGTCTTGATTGGCACTCTTCGGGCTTACTGTGGACTTGTCTGGCTACTATGCACTGCAAATCATCACCCATTTGTACTGAATATTCATTTGCAATTTCTTTTGGCTTGTGATCGCAGACTACGATGCTCTGTTGTCAGAAGCTGGCGATATCACGCCTAAATACAAAGTGCTGAAAGAGGTGCTTAAGACGTATGCACCAAACAGTTCTCGTAAGTAGCGACAAATCTCATTAGCTTGTTGCATAGGTCTTTTCTGATTTCGATAAACAGGATACATTCTGGTCTTGCTTGGGTACAAACATTACCATATGAGGCATGACGAGTTGTAACCATTCTAGACCAGGAAGTACGATGTTTTGGGCTTTATCAAAGATTTTAAAACGAATTTTGATTTGAATTTCTTTCTTTTTGTATGCAGTTCCAGAAGTGTATCCCACGCTACCAGTCCCGATTAAAAAGAAAGCCTATGGTGCGTTAATCCATCCATCCATCCATGCATCCATCCATCCATCCATGCAGCCATCCATGCAGCCATCCATGCAGCCATCCATGCAGCCATCCATGCAGCCATCCATGCAGCCATCCATCCATCTATCCATCCTTTCATCCAGTCGCAATCCCAATCCCAATCCCAATCCCAATCCCAATCCTAATCCCAATCCCAATCCCAATCCCTCCATCCATCCATCCATCCATCCATCCGTCCGTCCGTCCGTCCATCCATCCATCCATCCCATTCTACCTATCCTTCATTCCATCCCATCCATTTATTAATTTACCCATTCTTTATTCGTCTGCTTTTTTCTTCTTCTCCAGATCCCTTGCATATGAATGAGTACGTACCATTGATTGACACCTATAAATTTGTGGTATGTTAATCATCATAAAATTCCCTATTCATCAACTGACTAAGATTATAAAGCCAAACCCTCAATAGACCCTTTTCGAGTTCCAAGTTACCGCTGTGTTTCTTGATTACAGACTCATTTGCTCAGGCTAAGCCTCGAATCAGTGTCTAATTACTCGCAAATACCAACGGTAAAGTAAAGAATGCACACAACTTCAACAATACGAACACTTTGAAACTTGACGGACCTTGACTGGAACACGTGAATATTCTTCATAAAATCGAGGCTTAGCCTGAGCAAATGAGTCTGTAATCAAGAAACACAGCGGTAATTTGGAACTCAAAAAGGGTCAATTGTGGACAGACAGTTTATATATGTACAGCTTTTAAGACGTGACGTATTTCCGTGTCCAAATGCTCATAAAAACCGGTCAGAAAATTCCGCAATGAAAAAAAAGAGCTTTACAGAACTGCTTTTCGTTTTGGATCCAGTTTGACGTCACAATTAAAGGCTCTATTTATAGAACCAGGACGGAATCTGCATTGTCATGAGTACGAAAAATGTTCGTTGCAAAGGTGGCATGCCTTAGCATGTGCGTAGTAGTTATTTTCAATATTTTGATGTATGGAGTATATTTTTCTTTGTGTCAGGATCAAACGGTCAAGTCCAAAACTGTGTTACCAATGGAAGGATTACTCATCAATAACAATGGCGGACAGCCGTACGGGTTTATCGTCTACCGTACAAAGCTTCCCAAAGGCTCCAAAGTTCTTGAAATAGAGAAATACCGAGATAGAGCTCAGGTAACTGGAACCGAAAACAAACAATATCTTACGAATGAGCCACAATTTTATTCCGAAGATGTCGCGAAGAGAACTCATACTCGTATATCGTATACATGCAAAGCTTGTGCAAAGTTGTACGTCAAAATCAAAATAGTTTTTAGCTGAAGTCCCGTTACGATTTCAATGGTAGAGTAGCATTTGGACTGTCACAAGTTGTTTCAAAATGTGTTTTTATTTTTACTTTAGGTGATGGTGGGATCACAGCTTGTGGGAACTTTGGATGCGTTTGACATGAACAAAAAATATATGGCAATAGAAAAGATGAGTCACGTTAAACTGGAGCTGAAGTACAAGGTATTCAAGGGCCCATGATCAACCAAACAGCAAAGGCGATGCGAGGTTCCAAAGTTAGAGGCGCGCGCGCGACGTTTTGGCAAGAAATTCCACCAGGAAACCCACAGGAACTTCGCACATAGACCCATGCACAGTCCACAATTCATCAGGACTTTAATTCGTTATTTGTTTTATTCCAGCCATTAGACAAGAACGAAGAGACCATTTATTTAGATATCATAGTGGAAAATATGGGAAGAAATAACTTTGGTAATCACTTGAATGATCAGCGTAAAGGTAAGTCAGTGGGAAGTCAATGATGATGTTGGTGATGATGACGATGATGTTGGTGGCGTGTTGATGTTGATGTTAGTGATGATCCATTCTCGTATGGGTGATCGTATTGGTGGTGATGTTGATGATGATGACAATGATCATGTTGGTGGTGTGTCGATGTTAATGTTGGTGATGATGTCAATGGTGTGGTATTGGTGATGTGATGATGATGATGATGAAGAAGATAATGATGATGGTGTTGGTGATGTCGATGTTGGTGATGTGTTGATGCCGGTGGTGGTATTGGTAGTGGTGATGAGGATTATCATTATGATGATGATGATAATGATAATGATGAYGATGATGGTGCTGCTGCTGCATCGATGTTGGTGATGATGGTGATGGTGATGCCGTATTATTGATGATGATGATAATAATAATGATCTTGATGGTGGTGATGATGTTGATGACAATGGTGACTTGTGATTAATCAAATTATCCTAATTTTTCGTCGAAGGCATTTTGGGTGAAGTTCTCATCGATGGAAAGAAACCTGAATCCTGGACTATTTTCCCTCTCAGTTTTCATTCATTATTTGTCAGGAGGTAATAGTTAGTCACAACATTCTTTTTCAGGCAACCGTGGAAAGAATTTCCAAAGCCAAGGCAAATTTTGTGCTGAACTTATTTTTTATGTCTTGCCATCCTAACGTCTATCGATCTTCCTCTCCCCTTTCCCCCACTCCCTAAGGTATATTTACCACTCCACACCTTCCTCTGAGGGATTTTTAGAACAAAGCACGAAAACAAATAAACAAATAAAAAAGCAAACAAAGAAACAAACAAGTCAAACATAAAGTATAATGTAAGGACTCTTTTAGCTTCAAAATTCCAAACGCTGATGAAAGAGTATCTTTTAACTTTGTTAGAGTCTTCCACGAGGCGAAATGGCAAACCATGCCGCTGTCAGCAGACCAATCAATATTGTACCCAGCATTTTTTAAAGTAGTGTTCAACATTGATAGCCAACCCCATGACACGTTCCTCCTGATGGAGGGGTGGGGTAAGGGCGTGGTCTTTGTCAATGGTCGAATTCTTGGTCGGTATTGGAAGATAGGACCTCAGAAGACTCTTTACTTACCGTCGCCTTGGTTGACTGTTGGCGAAAATATTGTGAGTATTCCCTGGTGAAGTTGGAAGTACTTTTATTAATGTGTGCATTCTGCTGTCGAAGCCCTATATAGATAGCTGGGATCGGTGGAGATGATGATGATAATGGGGTGGAGCGGCGAGGGGGGGAAGGGGGTAGGAGAGGGGTGATTGGAAAACCTGATACTTTTGGCGTTTCCCCTTTTGCACCCCTTCCTCCCCCCCCCCCCAACCCACACACACACACACAAATTGAAGAAAATATACTATATCTGTATTTTTGATAGCGCACCTCCTCCACCTGATCATAACTCCTTTGATTTATACTTTTAAAATGAAAATATATCGCTTGCTTTTATTCGTAGATCGTCATTTTTGAGCTTGAAACGAGAAGCAAGGATGGATTATTGACGTTCACCAGCAAACCTAATCTTGGCAAAACTGCATAAAAACTATAACTAATCGCTTTCTTTTCATTCATGAAAGATCTAAAGTAGAATTGAAACTGTAATCAAATTATTGTTATCTGTTTAGCTGTGTGGCGGGAAAGTATAGATCTAGAGAATTACTGAATAGTTTCACTTCGTATAATGCACGAACAATTAAGAATAAGGATTTTAGAACATTTCCCTCTTTTTCATTCTCATTAGTTTTCATTATCATTACTCTAAATTACCTTCTGTTTTTTTTTTTGTTTTTGTTTTGCACAGCTCGTTAATTTGTCAAAGTTGTTTTACTTCGAAAAAGTAGACTAGAAGATTTTAGATCTTCTATTATCTCATTTTCATGGTTTTCTTTCGTGTCTGTTTGATTATTACACAGTAAGAATTCATTTTCTTCACACGGGTTAAGTGAAAATCTAGCATGTCGATATCTAGATCGAGTACTAACTGATGACTAGAAGTCTTAAGTCCTAAATAGTCCTATATAGATTATAGTTATGGACTGTTGACACGAAAGGGTAATAAAACTCGCGCGCGCGCCGAGAATCAGAAACAAATATTAGATATTTTAATTGTCACGTGCTAATGTGTGAAAAGGGAGGGGGGATAAGAATATAAGGCTCGGGTCAAACGTCAAACTTCACATGAGCCGAACCTAATTGAAACAATGGACAACAAGGCGGTCTACTTTGATGTCATTAGGTTCGGCTCGTGTAAAGTTTGACGTTTGATACGAGCCTAAGTGTTTTTAGAATTACATAATGAATTCACATCGTAAGCTATTAAAATGTTACAATCAAGGTCAGCTTTTCAATGTAACATTCAAACCTATTCATTCGCTTCAGTTTATATAAAAACGTCGTGGTACAATTAATTTAGTTTTTTCTTTCTTGATATCAAAGGACGCTCCAGTATCGATATTTATATGACATTAATGGTCGTATTATTTATTATCTTAAAGATTAATGATAAAATAAGAATTTGTACTAAAATGTAAAGAGGTTTGGTAAAATAAAGATAAATTATCCGAACGCATTTTTTTTTTGAGACGCAATTGAAAATTTACTCCCTCCCCTCCCTTGTGACAAAACTGCTCTTTCTAGGGTAGGGTTTGAGATGTCCTAGTCTTAGACTCAAAAGTTCTCCAGTCGTGGTTTGGTTTCCCGTGCAAAAACGTCAATGATCATAAGCTTTTGAAAGCAAATTTCTCATATTTTCAATCCTTGAGTAGGGATAACAGATGTCCCTGACTATCGAGCTTTTGTTTATATTTTAAAAAAAGTAGGTTATTAATCATTGACCATTCTTGGTCTGCTCCACTCAGGCCCTCTACAATATGACGATGGGGACTTCAATTCGCCTTCATAAAAAACCTATAATATTTCTCATCTTATTATCACTGTGTTTTACGATATGGATGTCATATGGAAGAACGAAGAAGACATCTTTAAGCCGGTATGGCAAAAGCGAAGGATTGAAAGCCGAGGGACCAGGTTTTACATTAGATGGCAAACCGTTCACTATCTTGAGTGGAGCAACGCACTATTTTCGCATCGTTCCTGAATATTGGGAAGACAGACTTTTGAAGCTCAAAGCTATGGGACTTAATACTGTTGAAACGTAAGTCTGAAAATTAAAAGTCGGTAATTTATAAAGAATTTAAGCCAATTTCCCGTTATATGTAATATATGTATTATTTTAATTGCAAAGTTGGTTGTGGTACCTGCTATATGTCTTTATAGGGTGACAAATTAATCTTGTGGCTTTGTAAATTGGTCTTGAATAAAATGTAGATTAATGCTTTAATTTTACACAGTTATGTAGCCTGGAATTTACATGAAGAAGTAAAAGGAAAGTTTGTTTTTGATGGACAACTTGATATTGTGTAAGTATAAAGCGGAGGACCTGTATGCGAAAGTAATTTGTAATAATTTCATGGCCCCCTCTGAACAGGCTCTAATTCCACCAGCTGACTGTCTATAGCTATGTAAACAAGGAAGCAATAGACCCCTTCACAGTTCCCTGTGCCACCTTGAAAGGTAGCCGTGCCTTTGCATCGAAGCGAGACGAACGGTGAGCGTGTAATGATAGAGACGTGAATAATTATTCAAGGTGTTAAAAAGGTCTCTATCATTGCAAGCTCACTGATTGCTACCTTTCAAGATGGCGCAGGGAACTGTGAAGGGGAATATTAGCAGTCTGTCTATTCAAACCTTCAAAACTCTATACTTCTTTTTCTTCTTCAGCAAATTTGTAGAAAAGGCACAAGAGCTTGGTCTCTATGTTATCATGCGACCTGGTCCATATATCTGTGCTGAATGGGATCTAGGAGGACTGCCTAGGTTAGTACGTACCAAATTAGCATAATTGTTGCCACAAGCTATTGTACAACATATTGACCAGGCTTCTTTTATATGTCATCACTGGTTACTTTCTTGCTACAAATTAAGCTTTTACCATTTATTAGGTGTCTTATCACAGACCACAGTGAGCACCAATAGCCCAGTGAACAACAATACATGTTGGTGTTGATGACTGACATTTTCACATAAGCTATGGTTTCCAATTGATAATACTTTCATTGCTGAGATCACTGCAATATATATTGCCCAAAAATGTGTTTCAGAATGCAAGGATCATAAAAAAACTTCCTGAATAACCACAGCCATCATGGTGGTCGTGATCGGTGAGGGATAGAAATCTTTCTATCTTAGCTATTGTTAATGATAGTACTGATCAAATGTAAACCACTCATCGCGGATTGCATCATTCATTCATCTATTTACTTGTATGTGTAATAAATATTTTTAAAAAAAATTAGAAAAATGGTTCTGAAGGTAAAAAGTGGTGAGGTTAAAACTGGACCAACCGTACTGGTGGCTACTGATATACAGCCATGATCCTGTACACAATGCAAAGTTTCCAGACTTCTCAACGTTTGTATAGCATATATGAATCATTATTATTACTATAATATATATAATTACCATATGTAAGAAATGTAAAAAAAAATGTATTATTTTTAGCTGGTTACTCAGAGACCCCAAAATGAATCTAAGGACTTCATACAGACCTTACACTGATGCAACAGGCAGATTCTTTGATGAATTGATTCCAAAACTAACACCTTTACAGGTACAGTATAGTCCCTTTCACAGTTCCCTGTACCACCCTGAAAGGTAGCCTTTGCATTGAAGCAAGAGGAACGGTGAGCTTGCAATGCAATGAATGAGACATGTAAATAATTGTCCAAGGTGTTTAAAAAGGTCTCTGTCATTGTAATCTCACTGTTCACCTCTTGGGATGAAATCATCCCTTTGCTCTTCTGTGGAATAACTCTTTTTCTAAAGAGATCTATTTTTATTACATT